GTTTTTTGAATTTTTATGAATTTCTCCATAAGTCATTTCCAAGATTGGTTTCTAAGAGTGGCATATCGCAAACTGATACGTCGAACTGATACTCCAGAACGAGACGCGACGACAGAGCCAGCGGCGATATTGATAAAAGCTATGTCGCTTAACCGGGTTCATTCCGCGCGCTTGCAGATTTCGCTCACGTACGCGCGGAGAACATCCTGAGCCCAGTAAGTGGCGTATGGAGATATCCAAAGGGGTTCGGATAGCTCGGATGGTTCGCAAGGGTGCCGGTGAGCGGGATGGTGGTGGCGCCGGGAAAGGAGAGGGAAACAGGTGGACGGATGTGGGGGAGCAGAAAAGACGCGAGAGCGAGTACAACCAAGGCAAGGACGGGATACAGGAGAGAGATGGCGTAAACGGGATAAAGGCAAGGGGTGTGCGAGAACGGGGAGGGGGCGGGGGTGGAGACGGCATCGAGAAACGCGGACTTGGAAGACCGTTCTCCGGACTGTCGTCCCATGCCTCTTCGCGTCACTATCTCTCTCTCTCTCTTGCACTGTGCCTTTCCTTCTCGCATCTCCTGTATTCAAACTACGTCAATACTACATGGGATTCGGGTGCCTTGATGCGTGGAAAAAGGGTCGAAGATTGTCGCGCGAGGTGGACGGAAGAAACACCAGCCGTTCCAGAGCTTCGCATCCACAGATGGATGGTTGTTTTAAAAATAAAGTCAACGTAGAAGAGGTTTCCACTTGACATGTTTGATTCATAACTCGTCGGACATTTTGTCCTAAACCTTGAATCGTTCGATGTTGACTTTTATCAACTCAAATGCGCGAGAAGATAGAAAATGTTGCAATTATGCTGATATTATAATCAATCTAAATACTCATGAAGTATTAAGATTCCTTGATCAGGTATTGCAATGTAATTTAAAATTTTACGCGGACGGTAATATCTCATGAAATACGGTCTTCCATATCTCATGACGAAAGCTAAAGAATACATTTACATCGAGCGGACGGCTCTCGACAAGTAATGACAAGCGGTGATCTTGGACGTCCTCGTGAAAGATTCACTGCTATCGTGGTGGGAAGCTGTGCTAGCGCCACAGAGTTGTCGCTAGAGCCGGTCAGAGTAGGGATTGGCATACTGACACAGTGGCATCCTGCATTATTAACCAGCGAGAGAAAGAGAGAAAGAGAGAAAGAGAGAGTGAGTACTCAAGGACATGGCCGGGTCGTACGGAATTGGCTCGGAGCAAAAATTAGTCGAGTGTCATTCGAGCGTGGAATTAGTCCGCGACTCGCGAACGGACTTGGCCTTCGGGCCAAATAGACATTTCTTTGCGAGTCATCGAGGCATCGAATCACCGAAATTATGGGTACAAAATCTCAACTTGAGATTTATAGCAAATATCGTTTTGTAAGGATATGTCACATTTTTGTAATTTGTATATTTACGATAAGAAAAACTTATTACATTATTCTAATTAAAAATAAGAAAAAGAAGTTTAGCGATGGATCAAGAATTATTTAAATATAAAATAGAAATATGTTTTAATAGAAATGTAATTAAGAAATAATGACAAAAATCTGAATTTTTTTTCATTTCTTCAGAGATTCTTTCGTTTTATTCTGCAAGAATATTTAGAAGAATGTATGCTTGAATTGTAGATAAAAAAAGAAAAAATATTATTGATTATTAAAAATAATATAAAATTTAAAAACAGGATACTGATATTAAATAGTTAAGATTAGAAGAAATCTTATTTTAAAAATCTCATTCTTTTTTATCGAAATTTCGATATCGCTACTTGTGGCATCGATTGCGATGGGGGACGAAAGAAGCAGTCAATTAAGACAGAATTGTTGCGTAAAGAAGTACAACTATTGCTTTGGTTTTTTTCCTTCGCGAAAGTCCTGAATTTATTTATCTCACGGCACAGCTTCCAGGCAGGATGAGTCCCGGACTCCGTTGTTTGCCCGAGACAAAGAAAGCGTTCATTAGGGAAACGCCATTAGCGGCGAACTTCTTTTCCTCCCCTTGCCCGCCCCTTTTTCTTCTTCTTGTTCCTCATCTTTTTCGTTTGGCTTTTGAAAGAACGCGTCCCTACGACCGACGCAAAATTTTTCCGCGCCTGCTGAATGATGAACGCCTATTACAAGCCCGATAGATAAATGTAACTTAAAAATGTATATCGTATATTTAAATTAAGGTAGGAACATTCGATCAGCGATTAATCAAAAGCCCCGTGCACACTCGCGTTTCTCACCCGACTGCGATACTGGCTCATTACACGCTTCGTATAACGACCTCGGCACGATCGCCGGCTTTCCCCTTCCTATCGCTCGTCTCGAAGTCTTCGTCCGCGGCCGATCGGAATCGGCCGATAGCGGCGACATCGATGCCGTAAATTACGGCGATCGACGTTGGCGTTGCTCGGCCCGCGTCTAGCGCGAGGCTGAGGAAAGCACGAGGCATCTCCCGGAGTACTTCCAGCCACGCGTAGATACCGCGGATAAGGTGAATCCGTGTCGATACTCCCTGGTTCGTGTTCCTGCCTCGACTTCGCGAGATGCCAGATAAATCGAGGGCGAGCGACGAGTTGCGTACGGGCATGACGTGAACAAAGAAGCGAAGATCCGTAGCAGAGGAATGCGCACGCGAAGTATGACGCGCTCCTCTATAAACGTAAGATAAGATACGCGAGGATGTAATTTAGAAATCGACGAAAAATGCAGTTTCGCGCTTTAAAAGCGTTCCTCTCGAAATCCGAATAAACGTTAGATCGATGTAAATGCACGTTGTAAATGCAATTCCTTTACTTTCCTTCGGTTACATCTATATTATGTTATGCAACAGATCGAGTATCCCTCCTTTGATGTTTTGCGCGATATTTTTACGTATGTATCGAGGATGTTCTAATCAAATATGAATTCGTTCCACCTCCGAACGCTACATTAAACGTTGAACTCCGAGCTCGGACTCGGAGATTAGTCATTGACGTCGGGATTTCTCTTTCCTCTCATTTTCGGTGATCGATCATCTGCCGTGCCATCTGCGACGAAAAATATATCGCCGGCAGGTGAGGCGGAGTTTCATTTGGGAGCGTGTTTCCGCCTACTAGAATGCGAAAAACGACCGGTCACTTGCTTTAACGTTGCGCGTCCTGATAGGTAGTTTTTCGTAGATCGTTTTTCACCAAAAGTTTGGCAGAAATCTTGCAAACTATGGGGGGGAGCCGGAAAACATTTGTGCCATTTTAAATAATTATTACTTTTAAATAAATTTAATATGATTTGTGAATTTCTTGTTTGAAAAAAGCAAAAGATCCAAAGCATTTCTCTTAGAAAAGATTAATTTGAAAAATATAATAGAGAGAGAGAGAGAGAGAGAGAGAGAGAGAGAGAGAGAGAGGAGGAGGAGGAGGAGG